TCTGGGGAAAGCAAAACCCAGTATGAACAGCAGCAGCCCCTGGTGGTCTAAAGGAAAAAACACCAAAGTAGTGTGTCTCTATTCCTTGGGGTGGAAATATGTTTTTTAAAAGTATATATGTACATATTTAGCCATTTGACTCAATTCTCCACCCAACACATTAAAAAACAGATGCTTTAAAAATGATCTGTTGGCAATATGCTTGTTAAAATTTTATCAGTTGGAATATTAAAATTCATTATGAATTAATTAACACATTATATAAAAATAAATTTTTTCATCATTTTGTAAAGTAATATAACCAGTAGTGACTAACATTGGGAATTTTGTGTGTCTTTATTTGTGTTGCTGAAAAAGAAACTAAATTTATAAGATTACTATGAAATTGATGACATTTTCTGTCTTCACTCTTGAATTCAGTTGGCAGATGTTTTCAAGAACAAAAAATTCTGTCTTATTACAAAACATATTAAGCAGGTTTTCCTGCCAGGCATGTCTGACATGATGTTTATTGCCTAGACCAAATCAATCCCCTTAATAAGCTATAATATATGCCAGCAAATACGTTATTTCATAGTTAAGTAAAGTTACAGCATAAAATAATCAGTACTTTGATCTCTCTGGCTTTGTTCTTCATGTATCAGAATGTAGTACACAATCTGTTAGCATATCTATTGATATTCATTTGGTAAATAAAGCGAAATTATACTTTTGTAACCTTAATGTTTCAAATCCTTATTGCACTTTCACCTGTGCTTTGCTGTACTAAATATCTGCAATCATTTGTAAAAAAAAGGATCTGGTATTTTCCAGATACCTAAGGAAAAATATTTCTTTAAACAGAGAATATTACAGATTGTAGTATATTAAGAAAATAAAATGGTCTAAAACAGGAGAAAAGCTAGCTCTAACATGGAATCATGGAATTGTAGCTACAAAGAACCTTCAGAAATTGTCTATTCCAACCCCATTATTTTACAGATGGGGGAACTGAGGCCCAAAGAGATGAAACAGCTTGTTGAAGATCACACAGAGTAAGTGGCAGGGCTGGCATCTGAATCTGGCTCTTCTGAACACACACGATAAGAACAAGACACCATTATGATAAAGGCAACCCCATGATTATCTCCTGATTATCTGTTCTTAAGCATGGACGACTATTGTTCATATGGGACTTTTCTACCCTCCTCCTCCCACACTGAATTCTCTATCTAGATAAAAATGTATTTTATCTTTTATTTTTTTAATCCCCAAATCTTATTAAATGTTGGATAGAAGAAATAAATGGATACCAATGGTATAGCCAGTAAACATTAGTGTACTACCTGTGTAGTTTCTCCTAGTATTAGTACATAGTATTTTTAGTATAGATATTTTTAAAAGATATATTTCTTTTTAAGCACTGAGTCATGTGTGAACAATATCAAAAATCCAGATGAATATCTAAAAATCCAGAAAAAAAAACCAGCTCCTACACAGATAAGCAATTGCATATTAAGAAATATGCAAATTTTAAATGAATACCAACAACTAATTTTTAAAAGTATTTATTGAGTACCAACTGCATGAAAAACTCTGTCAGAGAAATAAAGTAGCATTAGAAATGCTCCCTGCTTTTAAGCATCCTACACATGAGCTGACTTTGAAAGCCCAATGCAAATGTGAGGAAGTTAAGGGCATGAGACAAGACACAGACACATGAAAAGTTAAATAAGGATAAGAAACAACAATACCAGAGATGTCATAAGGCAACTGATGATGAAGTACCTCAATAAATAGTATGGATAATATGTTCTATGAGTTCAAAGAAAGGGAGGATCACTATGAGTTTCATAGGTCAGAGAAGACTTCAAAGACAAGGTGGGCCCAAAGTTGGGCCTTAAAGTATAGGAAGGATTTCTAAAAGTGGAGAGGAAAAGGGGGCACATGCTTGTTCAACAGTATGAGTGAGGGAAAGTACATGAAGTTTTTAGGAGACAAGCAAGTTTGACTGGAGCAGAACATTCATATAAGGGAGCTATATTAGAAAAAAGCTGTGATAGGTTTTCATTCAGAAGTTAGTGTTGTGTTGACAAAAATTTTACAAAGGTTATTAAAAAGCAAATGTTGCTCCTCTAACTTTATTCATTCATCTGAACAATGGGCAGGTTAACTAAAGTGCTAAAAGTGTCTCAAGAGAGATACTAAAATAAGAAGTAATTACTATTTTTCTTTAATTGTTAGAAGAGTCAGCATTTTAAAAATCAAAATTAAATCATGGACACTGGATTGACTTTTGAGTACATTCAATTAATCTCCCCATGCGGAAGCTTCCCTATTGATAAATGACTTCAGAACTCCTTTACAGGGCTGGTATCTGGGTAAAAACTAACACCTGAGACCTTCATAAGATATCATCTTTATATTTCAAGGAAAAAGATCTGTCTCATGATATACTCAGATCTGTGGGAAAAATAGCTTAAAACCGCACTAATACTTTGGGAACACACTGTGTGTGTGTGTGTGTGTGTGTGTGTGTGTGTGTGTGCGCGTGTGTGTGTGTGTGTAATCCTCAAGATTTAAAAAAAAATTTCTAGTTTTGAATATTCTCTCAAGGTTGTAAGCCACTCCTTTTTCAGAAGTACAGATAGAGTATGACAATACGCCAGAATAGGATCCTAGTGACCTATAAGATGAATGCACCAAACACTGAGCAATTCACCCCATCTCTCTTGAAAGGATAAAACCTTACTATCTAGCAGGATTCCAAAGAATGCATTCATCTCTGCTCCTTTGCAAACTGCTCCAAGGTTTTTAAGTGAAAAGGTATGAAGTTCAAAATACTATTGTACATCTAAAAGTATGAGTAATGCATGTAGGATTTTAATTTATATGATCTATCTTTGTCTTTCACTGTTTCCTGCGGTAGAAGAGTCACTTCACGAGAGAGATGGGATAACACAGAAAAGCATGGGAAAGAGGATGAAAGATGCAATATGAGAAGGTAAAAAAGAATGAAAGAAGAGTAAAAAAAAAAAGGAAAAAAAGAGTAAGAAAAAAGTAGAACAGATGAAAGAATTAGAGGGGAAAAGACAAGGAAGAAATAGAAAGGCACTTAACAAAGAAGGCAAAACAAAGATAATTCATTTTCAGTGTTAAATCCAGGAAAAGTTAAAACTGGGGATAAATGAAACAGATGTGAAATACAGAATAAAGAAAATGCACACGTACAAGAGAACAAAAGGAAAATAGAAGTAAATGTTGACAAGATAAAGAGAAGATAGAAAAGAAGAAATAAGACCTAGAGAATTAGATTTCAGGAATAGATCCTTGATTGTACATGTTACAGGCAAACACAAAAACCAAGGAAGTAAAAATACATAGTTGAACACATATAAAGTCTCATTTTTTGTTTCCATTTCAGAACATTAAATTAATACTACTAACATTATGTGAATTTTTAAATATTTTAAATTAATTTCTAGGAAGTCTAAATAGAAGAAATGTGACAGATTTTTGATTTTACAATATCACAAAATGTTAGGAGAGACATGGGAGGCTCAGGTAGCCTAGTAAATGAGAAGGCAGCATTATGAACTCAGAGAAGCTGCCATTAGACAAGAGTGATCTGATTTAATGAGGAAAAGGAAGAATATTATTTGATTTAAAATGTGATCCTTTTTGATGTTTTCAAATACTGCTAATGGTTCATGTGATGCTAAATTTGTGCATGCTCTCTCTCTCTCTCTCTCACCCATGCGCCCCCAGCTTTACAAGATACATGGGAAAATTTGAGGCTCCTGAAGGACTTTCTGCTTTAGATTCACTTAAAGTCTTGTGAATCTGAGAACCACCTTCACTATTTGGTTGCCATCTTAATTTACTCAATAGACTGACACAGGGCAAATGCTGTATTTTCTCTGAGTGAAAATTCCACAAAGGAAAAGCATAACCTGTGAGGCAAAATAGTTTTTATTTTTCCCCAAAAGTAGCATAAGATATGTCTATTACTAGTTCTTGTAAGTTTAAAAACAAGCCAAGTAGTAGGATATGATACATTACCACTACAACACAGTACAAATAAAAATGGTAATTTTTCTATTCTTTAAACATCTCCAAATATCTCATCTGAAGAACAAATCCATTTTGTTTTGCTTCCTCTTTGGTATGTGTGACATGTTTTATTCTTAAATTAAACCTCCACCTTCCATAATAAGAGCTAAATTGAATGAAATTTGTCTCAAACACAAAATCCACAGTATGTATATCAAGCAGAATGTGTCAAAGTGCAAATAAAACTGTTTGAGCCCCCTGCAGAATTAGAAATCCTCGGGAAGCACTGTTCTAACGATCCCATGCTGCTAGCATTACCAAGTGCAAAGGTTCATTGAGTAAGAAAAGAGCAAGGGACAGAGTTCCCTCATTACACCATTCCCGAACTATTCTAACTTAAATATTTATTAAGATATTAATAACCCTCACTCTCTTCATCTGCCTTCAGAAGTTAAACGAAGACACAATGAATGGCTGCTCCCATGAAAATAACATGTTACCTGATAAAACTGCTACCACACAAGATGAACACTGGTATAAGGCACAGTACATTATTAATTCAGCAGGTAATACATTTTTTACAATTATTAGATGATCTATACTCTCTCTAATGGAACAGAATGACACAGTATTTTAAAAGGTATGGTAGGTTGTAAAGTTGTCTTTCAAAGTTTTCTATATGTATATCATAATAAAATTATTTTAGTGGACTTCCCACAAAAAGAGACCCTGACCCAAAAGGAAGGCATACTTTCATTTGAGGCTTATATGAAATGGCACATGGATTTCATATGATGTATTTGGGAACTTTATCAAGGTTATTTTCTGACTGGGAAAGAAAATATCCTTAAGAAGTTGATGCTCACAAGAAATAAATTGCTGAAAAAGCCAAGTACTTCATGTGAAAAAAATTTTTTGAAAAAAAAAGTATATCAAGTAATAAAGGAAAATGTAACCACTTGACTTACTCTAATATATAAGGGTATCATCTCTTTTTCTTTCTGCGGGTTACGATACTTTTCATAAAAATCACGCCGCTTCTTTACTTCTTTGAAGTTTTTATCTTTTCTTTCACGTTTTTCTGCTGGCTCATCTGAACCATCAGAAGATAACTGCACTTGTGATTTGGTCTTTTCCACTTCAATATAGTTTTCATTGGGATTGAGCACTATTACTCCATACCCTTCCTGTTGTAAAAAGAAAGGAAAAAAATGTAATCATAGAAATATTACCAATTTCTAATAGTATTAACATTTTATATTAAGTAAATTCATAGTCCTATATTTCATAAATTATCATATTATAACAAGGACTATACTTTTTTCCTTTGGTCATCTATGGCTTTGAATGTCTTTAATTTATTGTGGTATGGGTAGTACATGTAAATAAGCAGACTTTATGTTAACAGAAGCAAAGAAAAAACAAGCAAAACTGTGACATGAAGATTGTTAATTTAAACTAAAAGGTTTTATTCTAGATCTCCTAAAGAAAAATAATCTTTGGGAACACTGACAAGCATCAACCACACTTACACTTTACAAATGCCCTTACTATTCAGAAGACATGCAATGAGAAAAACAAGCATCTTGGTATGGAGTTTCACAACTTCCATGCTGCCTTAAATGAGTTTTCTTTCTTTTCCTCCATATTTCTGTTTTGGTTTATTGTGTTTGAATACTGACAGAGAAGGAAAAAATAGAAGGAAAAAATGTACCTAATATTCTATATATTTATGATCACATAAAGAGCAGAAACCTTATCCATTGTCCATCTCATACAGTTGATTTGCCTGTTCAACTTCAGGAAGCTACAGAAATCGTTTTTAAAAATTAAAACTTTTTTACAAAGTATTACTATAGTGTATGTAAATTACTTTTTTTTTTAATTCTGAGATTTTTCTTTTCAAGTCACTATCATATGACCTTTTTATTGAGGACTAATACCATAAAACATTTAACATTTCAAAGATTAGAAACCAAAAATATTTGTGGAGTTGTTAATAAATGTTTAATTCGCATGTGTGATTTTCCATTTGGAGACTGGTATAATTGATCTATGAATATTTGGGGACCAGAGAAAGTGAGTCTTTAATATTCACTTTTAGAAAGATTTTTAACATTTTAAACTTAAATAAAAATGGAGAAAACAAAAATGTTAGCACCACTAACCCTTGAATAACATTTGCTGGAGGACATTTTGAAAGTATTATACATCTTTCTTTTTCTAACCAATGCTACAGCACACTGAGAAGAACTATGATGTTCACGATATTTATACTCTTATAAAACTCTATATGGTCATATGATAGTAGGTTCTACATTATGACACAAGGAAGGAGACTTAGACTTATAGATAATTAAATCTAAATGGAGTTTTGGTTCTACCCCCAAAACATTACCTATTTTAAAAATTCAAACTCTAGGACCCGATTTGAATTTTAAATGTCACATTTCTTGTTCAAGTGACCATCAGAAGCTGATCAGAACCCACACAACTGATAACATCACTAAAAATAAATGAATATTATCATTGAATCAGTATTATTACTTCAAAGTAGGTTGTTACCGTACTTGGTATTTTTTTCAGGTATTTCAAATAGCACAAAAACTGTACTGGGGTTATTTTTCTTCTCATCTAATCAGTTAGTATATTTTTCAACCATCTTAATTCGTGTGTGTGTGTGTGTGTGTGTGTGTGTGTGTGTGTGTGTGTGTGTGTGT